TTTTTGAAGGAAGATTGGCATCAGGGGTAAAATACTCAGAGCTGGCCTTAAAATACTTGGGAGTGATCGAACCTAACAACGTCCATGCTGTGAACTATTTAGCCAAGCACTGAAGCCTTTCAGTTTAAAAGTTAGTTTTGTAAGACCTAAAGTAGTGCAAAGTGTCCTCCTTGAGATGGTAAATCTGGTCACCCTAGAGCAATGTTTCCCAACCCGGTCCTCAGGGAACACCAACTGCACCATGTTTTACTCCCTCCCAGCTCAGACATTACACATTTTTGCTCCCACCTGAGGACCACGTTAGGAAACACTGTCCTAGAGGAATTAGTCTTGTAAACTGTACACAGTATGTTATATCCCCGTCATCTACGGATGATGGGCATGCTCTGTACTTCCTTAATTAAGACTGGAAGTGCCAGGCTGAGAGCTTTGCTCGAGAGTCACTTTTGTTCCTCCACTTGTGTCACATTTTCGTCTGTGGGCATCTTGTTTTGTTTGTTGTTGATCTCGTAATCCTTTTGTTTCATGTTGTCTTCTAGCACAGTTCTCCTCGTTCCCGTTTTTTTGCCTAGTCTCCAGTCATCCGCATCCAAGTCCACTTTACAGCCCAGTGGTTACCTGTTTCTTGAGGTGTTTTGCCCCCAGGACTCGGAAAACATCTGGCAGAAAGTCCAGCAGTGTAGGTGGGATGGTCTAGTCATTTTGTGTCTGCGTCTTGTGAGATTTTGGAGCAAAAAACAAATTTCTTGAGTTTGGTCATGACACCAGGCCCTAAACATCAATAACTTCAGCAACTATTTAGCTTTATGAACATTTCCTTGACAATATTTTTTGGCTTGAGACATTATAGATTTGCATTAACCAAGCAAAAAAGAAATCCAACTCCATTATGTTTTATGTGTTTAAACAGATTATCCCTATCTTGGCCCGTTGGGATCCTTGTAGATACCATTTTGTTCCAGCAGACCTCTTAGTTAATGAGATTTCATTGCGCTCTTTATTAAATATTCCTATAAACTGCCTGGTATTAATGAATTCTTTGGTAGCATGTGTGTATCATAAAGATGAGGTGCCTTGGTTTTTCTCCTCCTACCATTCATTAATTCATGTATGTATTAATTAAAGAATGAACCATTAAATTGCTTTCCATGAAACTGATGAAAAGAAACATGTATTTTTGGATCAAAACAGAACAGAAAATAAGTCCAAGTTCAGAGAATTCATCTTTTGTCTTAATGAAACTGAATATCTCAGTTGTATAAATTGACACCTCTAACCACTGTTAATAGATTTTGATAGTAATGTTGTCACAACCTGGTCAACCTTAAGTAATCATGGAGTTTTCTTGAATAAAGTCTGCACACACTACAAAACCCGATGTATTACAGGACTGGGGTGTAGTGCATGGTGCAGGGGAGATGTATTGGAGATGTATTGGCAGGAAGGGCTTGCTGTACAGTTCTTCAGCCTACCTTGCTATAAACCAACAAAGACTGTATAAAGGCTTTAATCTCACACACAAACACTGGCCTAGCTTCAAGTAGCATCCTGTACTGGATGGACACCAAAATCCTTCTGTTTAAATATCTTTTACACACATGGTTTTATTTTGTTATCATTATTACAATGATTTTCGACCATGATAATTATGCTGATTGTTATGATTATCATGACAGTTTAATGATAATGATGATGAGCATTTAGTTTTCCTAGCGAGCTCTCTTCTTCAAAGCCTCCTACATAATTTACAATTTATTATGTTTTAACCTATGACGATTGTACTTTTTTAGCAATTGTTAATGAACATGAGGCAGAGTTACCCCAGGACTTGACCCTATCACCTCTTGTTGACAGTTTTGTATCCATGCTTCTAGCTGCCCACCCCCCTGTGTCGTTTTTCTAGTGACACCCAGCCTGCCAATTGATTGCTACATGATTTATGAGGAATCAACCATGAAGGAACAACAGGAAAGATACTGTAATTCACCACCTTCTGCTCTCCTCAGGCAATTTAAATGAGGGAAAAAGACATAAATAAAGACTGCAGAGATCCCGGTGGACACCCCTCGCAGCGTCTGCTCAGTGGTGGCTGCCATCTTCACAGGTGTTGAGGAGGTGGGCCGCGTCTCACGGCCAACGCACTGAGCGGATGCGGTAACAGCACAGACCACCCGTATGCACAAAGATGCCAGGATCACCGGCTTAAGTCAAGTGGCTTGGAAATGTGTTTAGCCTCCTGGAAGTCTGCAATGAAACTCGATATGAGATGTTCCACTCAGGTCAAAACTGGTGTGGAGAGGATCCAAAGTGAATAAAACACTTTACAATGGATGTAAGGAAATGAACAATTTCAGGCCTGATACTTGATCAGAAATAGCTTTGAGGGGGGGGGGGCATAAAATATTAAGAATTGTATGTTAAAGGGTGCAGTATACTGTACATGAACAGGGCAAAGAAAACACATCCACAGTCACATGCCAGTCAACCGTGATTGCTGTTGTCTCATTTCACTGCAGGATGATTGGGCACAGAAAACTCTGTCATTTCATCCTACTTCTCTTCCCCACTTTCAGCTCTCACAGATAATGTTATGGGAGGCTGGAAGCACCTTATGCTTCAGAAATGCATGCAAAATCCAGGCAGAAAATGGCAGCCTGTTCAAATGGAAGAACTGAGAGAGGCATTTAGTAGAGCAATCTATCACATCAGTCAGATTGAAAATAGCTTCTATGTTACAGAAGAGAAAATTCAAGCTTTTTTAGTATCGGTGACATGGAGGTTTACTGGAATATCATCTGTCATTTATGCTTGAGGGAGATGCAGTTCAATCAATTTTAACTTCCTCCCTCCTTACGTCTTCAAACAGGTCCTGCATTAGCAGTGCCCACTCAATCTCTCTAAAAGGGTTGTGGTCCTTTTCTTTATAACTGGTTGATCTGAACAAGGCGCAATTATGCAGCTCTTGCAACATCTGTGATCGATTCAATGCAAACGTACGAATGGTTATGCTGATGGCTTTGCCGTTTATGAGCCAACAGCATTTGGCGACGGCAAAAACAAACTGCACCACGTGCATCCTGGCTATTTCAGGCACAAGCAAAAAGTGAGCCGCGTACTGAAAAGGCAGTCACCCGAGCCGCCTGTTACACGTATGTCATATCTTGTGTAGAGTGTGAAATTGTCTAAGGAGTATGTTTTTTGAGCATTCGTGCAGACAATATTGTACCTGAATTTAGCTGTTCTTGGCCAAAATATGCAGCTCATTTTCTACTTGTGAGAGTTTTAATGTCTTAATGTCTTTTTTCCGTAGTACGTTATGCATAATCGCCAGTCATATATATATATATATATATATATATATATATATATATATATATATATATATATATATATATAACACACATAGGTGCCCTTGGTCTGCTGAGAGGAAGCTCAATCATGAACAATATTATCTGATACCTTTTGTTAATCTAGATAATAGCACTAGCTCACTGAAATCAATACATGAAATCGAAAGAGTTAAATTAACATTAATAGATTCACATACCTCTTTTTGATTTCTGTCTGGTTTTTGGTTTAGCTGTTGATGTCTACAACAAGTGCCATTAAGATTTCAAGCGTAGGTCAGTTTTTTCGTTCATTATACGACGTACTCACTGCTTCCTTGGACCCAACCGTGAAGTAATAAACTAATCTATCCATCCATCCATCTTCCGTGACGACTTGTTCAGTACCGTCTCGCAGCGAGCCTGAAGGTTATTGCGGTTAACGGGGGTTGGGCAGGGAATATTCTGCAGGGTATGTCAGTCCGTCGCAGGTTTATAGATACAAACTGCTTTATTTGTGCACAATTAAATAGTTGATTACCAAGTTGATAAAAGCTCATAGAAGCGGCTACCCACATGGGGATGCTCTACACATCAAGTGCTTCTCAAAATGACACTTAATACACTTGTACAGTTTTAGCGAATCCGAAACAGACACACCAACGTAGATAATAATAGCTATCAGGAAAAGACGAGCAAATAAAAAAAATAAGAAGAAAAATAAATTCTCAGAAAAAGGTTTTTCGAGTAGTGTGAAGTGTAGACTATTCACGGCAAAAAATCAAAACGTATTATGTTTATGTAAAAACAGGTGTCTTAAAAATAAGCTTACATTTATGGAGGAAATTGTATCAACGTGTGCTGACTACAGGATTTGCATTATTTAACAAGACATACGTTTTCAAACAGTTTTCATTCATTAATTACTTGGAAGCAATTTAATTTGTCTTCATTCGTTCCCCCGAATAAACAGACATTTACTTTTAAACTATATTGTGCCCCCGTGCCCCCCCAGTATCAAACTCTCTCCTACGCCCCTTGAGCAGCGGTCTGACATGGACTTTGACGTATCCCGTTGTACAGAGATACAGGTACGTGCAGCGCTTCCTTCATAGCTGATCACCGTGCAGTGCCCCCCCATAATCCACACCCCCTAAATGCAAATATTATATCAACCACCTGTTACTTTCCTCTTTCACCCGTGTCAAGTCTATGGAAAGCTCCCCAGACATTGACTATTAACGTTATTCAAGCAAGTGAATTTTACATTTTCATAAGACCCCCGTTTCAACATTAATTAATGAACATGCCATATACCACCCGTAAATATGTTTGCGTGATACAGCTAACAAATTTGTTCATTTTTACCAACTTTTTTGTTTCAAAAGAATACCCAAACGTGTAAAGATAAATACGTTTGACAAATATAAGATGGCAACTGCTTTAATTAGTATAGAATTTGGCACTGATGATTGTGTCACAGTGAATGCTTCTGCGTTATACTGTATATATGTTTTAATCCCTCTCGGTGGAGGTAATTGGGGCACTGTTGTTGTTGACGTTTTCCATAAACTTGGTTATATATATTTTGTGTCCCCGTGATCTCTGCGTTGAGTACGCCTCGGGGCGGAGGGCGGCATTCAGCATCATTACCGCGGGCGGCTCCTGGACGCGGCTCACTGAGCCCCGCACGCTTCGTGGGGGAGGAAACGACCACGTACAGTTACGTGGCAAAACAGCGGCGATCCGCCACCGCCAACTTTAACTAAATTGTCAGCCAAAAAAAAAGGGTAGAACATCTTTGAGTGGATTTTTTCCCGAGGTTTAAAGACGGAGCATAATCCATAAATTTGCGTAGGGGAACCAGGACATATTCAATGGATTATACTTTGCAGGAGTTTTAATGGAAGATACGTTTTTGAATGGAAGTATTCCTGTGGATATTGTGCCTATTGCATGACGACAAAGTAAGTAAAAATAAATATTTTACTTTTCCAAGTAAAGATCTTTGAGGCGACCCATTAGGCTAGCCTATATAAATAAGCGTCGGTTTTTATTGATTAGGTGTATGCTATGTAATTAGGCTAATATAAGTCATTTTACCCGCGTATATGTAGACGTAGGCTATGTGGTGTTAATAAACATTGACTCATTGACTTGTAAATACTGAATCATTATTTGTTTTTTCGCTTGGAGTTCAGCAATTCTGTAAAGGAAAGGTGAAAGATTACCATGGAAAACGCCACTTATTCCCAGGATAACCAGACTCTGGGTAGCTGGACTGATCACAGCCTTGAGTACAAAGTGGTAAGCACGCTGTTAGTGGCGGTGATCTGCGGCGTGGGCATCGTTGGAAACGTGATGGTGATCCTGGTAGTGCTCACTACTAAACACATGCGGACACCGACTAACTGTTACCTGGTGAGCTTGGCGGCCGCCGACCTGATGGTGCTTACTGCAGCCGGCTTGCCCAACATCACGGAGAGTTTGTATGGATCCTGGGTGTATGGCTATGCTGGATGTCTGTGCATCACTTATTTCCAGTATCTGGGCATTAACGCCTCATCGTGTTCCATCACTGCCTTCACCATTGAAAGGTACATAGCAATCTGCCACCCCATCAAAGCCCAGTTTCTATGTACGCTTTCCAGGGCGAAAAAAATCATACTGGCAGTGTGGCTGTTCACCTCCCTCTACTGTGTCATGTGGTTCTACCTGTCAGACACTGCTCAGATTGTTTACAAGGATGTTACTATAGTGGTGTGCGCTTACAAAATATCCAGAAACCTTTACCTGCCAATCTACTTTTTGGATTTTGGGATCTTTTTCGTTGTGCCCTTGATGCTTGCCACAGTTCTCTATGGCCTCATCGCTAGGATTCTCTTCCTGAACCCTTTGCCCTCGGACCCAAAGGAAAATAGCAAAAAGAAAAAAGCAGCCACTCCGCAGATGAAGAAGATGCAAAGTTACAGGAACTGCAGCCGCTCCTCCAGCACCACGGCGACGTCCAGGAGGCAGGTGAGACCGCGCATGCGCTAAGGAGGGACACCCCCCCTTTATCCTTACACCTTAATATATAGTGCCTTTCTGCGATTTTTTTCGCGTCGTAATAGACATATGTTGCATTTAATTACATTTAACTTTGATGTATAACACGATTTTCGCGTTGTATACGTTTGTAATTCAATGTTGGTATTTAGTTTCGGAAGCGAGTACTTTAGTCCATGGCGGGAAGGGACCCACAATATTTATGACCTTTGTACGGATTTACAGTAGGCTAGGTGTTAAACAATTGTTTCTTACACGGTTACACAAGCGCACTAATCAGAATTTATACCTAGTTTCTCTTCCCATATAAAAACAAGACTGCGCTGAAATCCAGTTAAATCGGAAATAACGTTACTCTTACTGTGAGATCAAGCAATCAAATTTAATTTAAGATTGCTTATACATTTTCCTCTCTGTATGAGTTTTAGCATATCGCAAGCATTTCCCGCTGTTACATTAAGTGTAATAGCTGAAGGGGATTTTTTAAATTATTATTTTTGTAATTATTATTATTATTATTATTATTATTATTGGTGTGTTTGATAACCGACACACGCGTGTAGAGGAAACTCGGGGAATGCTGATATCCGGATCTGCGATGTCCTGCGGCTCGAGCCTCTCGGTAAACCAATTTCTTTAGAAGAAAGCGTCATCCTGCGAATAGAACCTGTAATACATTGTGTGGCTGTTAAATGGAAGCAACTAAGATGAAATGCTCTTAATGTAATGCTGAGAAGAGATGAACAATTATGAGTGAATATGCAATAATTAAACCAAAAAAGTCCTAAAATACGCAGGGATTTGTGGGCGTTAGAGAAATTATATACTAAACACTCACAAGTATCTCTTAAACATACTGTCGTCATTTTGCAAATGTTTTGATGGAGTCTGCCAGGGATGTTAGATGGGCATGGATACCTTGGCGGATTCAGGGGACCCAACACTTGTCAGGGGCTCTTGAATATGTCAAATTCTGCATAAAATTAGGCAGGGGGTCCAAGGTAACATTTTGTCAGGGCCCCCGGAATTTCTCGATACTCCACTGGTGGTTGCTCATTTGCACTTTAATAGATGCAAATGCTTTGTGTATCTGAGTTATCTGTTGCAATATACACCTGATGTTATAAGACGGTTGTATTCTTTGGTTCAAGGTGACCAAGATGCTCGCAGTTGTGGTGATCCTGTTCGCACTGCTCTGGATGCCCTACCGCACGCTGGTGGTGGTGAACTCGCTGCTGGAGCAGGCCTACCTGGACGCCTGGTTCCTGCTGTTCTGCCGCTGCTGCATCTACCTGAACAGCGCCATCAACCCGGTCATCTACAACGCCATGTCGCAGAAGTTCCGTGCCGCCTTCCGGAAGCTGTGCGGCTGCCAGTCCAGACACGAGAAGCCGGCCGCCTGCAGCGTGGCGCTCACTTACAGCGCCATTCGCGACACGTCCAACGGAGAGAGCCCCGAGCACTTTGCCACGGAGCTGGACGAGCTGGCCGCCGCTGAGGAGCTCCTGCGGCACGGCGACGCCCTGCAACTCGCCGGCACGCGCCTCCCGGCCAAGGTCTCCTTCAGCGAGCCCTAGTCTCACCGGGGACCCCGGCAGTGGGGCATTGAATACTGATGACCTGTTTCTCTGAAGATGGCTGAAAACTTTTAATGTCATAATACTACCACGTGGAAATTATATTAGAGTAGCTGACAGCCATAGACAACAAAACATAAACAACAACAGTAAATAATAAATAATAACAACAGCAACATTAATAGTAAATAAATGCTAAAGGAAAAAAAGAGCATAATTATAGGTTAGGGCTACATTAGGTAATACGTTCACTGGCAACTCTCCCAGTAGCCTGATAAAAGGTAATTTCACCCACCAAAAATGAATATCTTTGTTGGAGGTTTATTTTCTCTTCAAAAGGAATCCAGACAAAATGTGTGTGATCTATCTTCTTCTGGCTTTTGGATAACTGTCCATTCATATGACATCCTGCCAGCTTTATTGTCATGATCTTCATTATTCATTTCATTTTCCTAACTGCAAAATTTATGGTAATATAAAGATGAAATGGGCAGTGAGACCAAATTGTGAATCATAGTATAGGAGTGTTTTTTTTAATTATTATTTTAAAAGTAAAACGCCAGTAAATTAATACGTGCAGTTGGTTTTGCCATTAACATTTGGAATAGGACTTGAGAATATTTTTTTTGACTATCACAGGGTGACTTTTTTTTCATGAAAATTAACACCATTTTTGTGAAGCAGTACATTTTCCCATTTTAGTGGACATTCTCCTAAAATTCAGAGCAAGCAAGTATAGGGGTGGCTTGGATAATTGAATAGTTGTCAAAACCCAATAGCTTGCTAGTTAAGCAACAATGTGTGATGGAAATAGGATGTATAACAAGTATGGATATAAGATGTAGCCATAAACAAATGAAGTAATATCTCTGGAATTTATCTGCACAATATTTCATAGCTACCTTCCCAACTCAGTAACTTTAAAAGCATTTTAACTACATTTTAACAGGTTCACTGAGGAATATAACTCTCATGACATTTCGTATTTAAAGCACATGTTTCTGTTTGAAAGCAGTGAAAGTGGTTAGAAGGACTCAGGGTGTGGAGACCATATTCCTTCATTGATTTTCCTTATTTTTTATGTTGTTTGTGGAGTAAAACATATTCTGCCTGCACGTGGGACTGGTACCGTAGTCCTCAGTGTGAGTGGCTGGGATTCAGTTCTCAGGGCACAGATTGTGAAGTGAAGTTTACACAGATCAGAATGGCACAATAGGGATGCCACTTATACTTGGACAGACTTGTCTACAGGTCTGAAACAGGGTTGATGGAGAGGGCTGGGCGACACCCTCAGACTGTGGCAAAGGACATCAAATGGGAAGTTTCAGGACCAGATGCCGTTCCAGCAAGTATGAATCCTCCAGTGAGCTGGAAAATTCACAGTGTCGCCCTTGCATGGTTGACCCCATCGCGCCCAGGAGGTGGCTTACTGGATCCCTGATGAGAAATCAATGGCACCTGTAGTGCCGGGTTAACTTGCGCTGTGCAGTCTGACTCGTCGTCTTACCAAATGGCTTCTTCTGCCTCAATTCCACCTTGGCTGATACGGCTTCTACATGCAAGTAAGCCAGATGGATAACACAGGTCCCAGAGCAAGAGAAGGAAATCAGGGACCTGGGAGTAAAGGGAACTGAACAGCAACAAACCTTACATCCCTGTGAAGTACTGTACTGGTGTCCATGGCGATGCCTTGTAGAGAAGGAAATACTCAAAAATCCACTTATTACTCTAATTTACACTGTAGATTTCTCATTGCAACAATGTAGTCATTTGGATATTGTTACTAGAAAGTGATGTCATGTTCAGAATGTAATTCTTTATTCATTACTCAAGTAAAATGCTTTACAAGTGTTATTTCATCCTCCAGAACCAAGGTCAATGAATTTATTTCCAGAAAACAAAAGATTGGGGACGCATTGTCAGTAGAATTTGCACGTGGCCTAGCTATGTACTTCTGTTAGGCCATGATAAAGAATAAATTATGGGATAATCTTAAAGATTATCACAACCCTGTACATAGAAAACAGTTGGGATGGATGGATGAATGGATGGATGGATATAAATGATGTAAATCCTACTGGTATCTGAGGGCTAGGACCAGTCACTGTCAAATACTTAGCAAATCTTCGCTTATGTTCACAGAGTCTGTAAAAGTGTTCTGTAATGAAGTGATAATATAGGAAAGTGAAATAAATGTTCTTTCTGAAATAGCTGCGAATATACAAAATACAGGAAAATATTTCGACATTGTTATCTTTGCAAATTCATTTTCTTGTGTTGTGCCATAAAGAAAGTGCTTTGGAATAGATACACTTTTCTTTAAAATATGTAAAACATATAAAATATATTCCAAATGTGCTATGCTATCTCACTGTGGTAAACAGGAATCATATTTTTTGAAAGGAACGTTTTCTGTATTTGCCAGTGTTTCAGTCAGTACCTTTTCTTGTGTTGTTTATGTAGAAGGTCACTGGATTTTCTTGCCTTCATTTTATGGTCGAAATAATATAGAGAAAATATGAAGCAAATTTCCATTATTAACTTCACTGATGTTCTGTTTACACTGACATGAAAATAAAGTAGTTGGTATAACTACTCAGTCATGGAATTTTAGCCCATTCATGATATATTTCTGAGATACCTTAAGGCATTTTGTTTTATGGTTGATGTTTTGCTGCTATCATAATTAAATGAGTGTGAACTATTTTTGAGTTGTCGTGTGAATTTATGGGAAAATTATTGGTAAGTTGTAAGAAATTTATAATCAGTTCTAATAATCTGGAAAGAGCTTTTATACAACCAAATATAATTGCATTAAATAAATAATTAAAGCATAAAGCTTTAATACTTTGGAAGCTTGGCTCACTGTGAACGATGCATCAGTTCATGTGTTATGCTTGATATTAAGATTACACTGCAGACAGACGCCCTGATGATGTCAGCCATCAATGACGCTGCTACACACAATCCCAGACTTTTATTGTGGGTTAAATGCTCCACTGCTGCATATTAGTTCCAGACTAGAAATGCGTTAGTTTTCAGTAGTTGTGTTTAAACAAGATTGTTTAAACATATCATTACTGTTAAAGGGGACAAAAGTTGATGAATGACTTGCAGTGTCTGGGATGAAAAATAATTATTCTGAAAAACAATTCTATAAAGTAACAGGAAAATATTAACACTGCATTTACTGTAACTGTAACAGGGACATTTAGTTTTATGTGGGGGGATGCACTTTATTATTTTTTACTGAAATATAAAAATTACAAACTTCAAACTTGAATTGCATCAAAAGAGACTGAATATATAAATACCATTTAATCATTCACAAATACTCCCTGAAGTTCTACTTAAACCCACATTGCGTAGCTTCCCTATTGTGTATTTTCAAGGCAAATGCACCCAGGCAGGGCTCACGCCTCCAGGGTTGGCAGTATGAGTTCTGTTCCTGGCTCCTGTTTCATTCATGCTGTTAGGTGGGGTTTTAAATGACCCTGAGTGTGCCAATGATGCAGCCATGAACAGGAGAAGTGGCTGGGAAGAGGGGTGGATGTAAATAAATGCCCCATTTCCTGGCAGATGAATTAATTCGCAAACTGAATGCAGCCAGACAGTGATCAATAGCAAAAGCAATCTGACACCTTTCAACCACAATAAAGCTGGTATTGATCATTTTACAAAACAAAAAGAGGATAAACAGCCCCCCCCCCAGCATGACAATCTAAAGTGAGGTCAAACTGGCCAGATAATACCTATTTCTGCTTGCTGATTATGAGAAAAAAACAGGACCAAGTTTTTTTTCTGAATATTATTTAAATATATGAAGAGAAAATAAAAATCAGTGAGTAACAACTGCGAGGCTGACGGGGGTAAGTGAAGTGACGGCCATCTTCTCACATGTGCTTCGTTATTGATGTTTGTTTTTCTCTTGGATCCGAACCACGTGCCCAGATCCCAATGGCTCTTCTTGCACTGAGCTATATCGCTATTTCAGAAACGGACGCCTGTTTGGCTGTCCTCTGTCCTCTATGCTCCCCTTCTGCTGCAGTCAACTTTGCTTTTCATTTTACCCTTTTTTATCTACGCTTCCCGTTCCTTCCTCCCATCTGTGTGTCACATGTCTTATGTATTAAGTGTGAGGAAGGTAATATACCATCAGAGGGATGACGGCCAAGCCGTACTGGGGAGTATAGGTAACCAGCGCCCCGTACTGGGGAGCGTAGGTGACCAGCGTCCCATACTGGGGAGCGTAGGAGACCAGCGCCCCGTACTGGGGAGCGTCGGTGACCAGCGCCCCGTACTGGGGAGCGTAGGAGACCAGCGCCCCGTACTGGGGAGCATAGGAGACCAGCGCCCCGTACTGGGGAGTGTAGGTGACCAGCGTCCCGTACTGGGGAGCGTAGGTGACCAGCATCCCGTACTGGGGAGCGTAGGAGACCAGCGCCCCGTACTGGGGAGCGTAGGTGACCAGCACCCCGTACTGGGGAGCGTAGGTAACCACTGCCCTGCTGAAATTCTTAATATCTCGTCCCTTGGAGCCAGATCCATCTTTTTCTCGCATTCACCAACATCAAGGATGTGCGGTTCATTCCGTTCAGGGAGGGCTAGTAGTTTGAATGACAGCTTTCATGCATCTGGCAAAGAGGTATACACAAATTTACTAAATTAACTCAATGTATTGAGTCTAGTGCTCTATCAGCAATGACTTACCTTTGGAAATTCCACAGTACATGCCTGAATGACTGCTATATGTTGTTGAACAATGAGCAAATCTGTTATGAGAGCACGACATAATAAAGAGCTGTCATCCTGTTAGCTTGTGGTTGCCAGCGGTGATTCTAATTGATTGCTGGAGGACAAAGACATTTTTCATCATTCTAATTCACAGGAAAATAAAAGATAGAGACAACACACCCTCGGGTTGTCAAACATACTAGTGGCTGGCTGACAGTCATGTCATCATTAAAAAAAATTATAAAAGAATCTTTAAATTATAATCTGGACTTCACATTTTGACAAACACTAATTTTCCCACATCGATTTCAAACACGCAATGCCGTTGTGACAAAGGAAGGTAATCATTAGGTAAAATGGAAATCTGAAGTTCTGTTCATGTGGTAAATCCAATAACAGGCCCCTAAAATTAAGCAAAATACATAGACTTGACAGCAAATATGAGGGATTTACTGTTTGGTCGCCCCCTACAGGTGGATGATTCCACTGTCTGGTGCCTCATTGACGATATCTGACCATGCTGGGCCAACAAATTTCCCATCATGCAGCGTCGTACCGCTTCTGCACACCGTTTGTTTGGACATGCAGGGGCAGCTAGGAGTGCCAAACGGACCTCAAGCGGAACATGTCGATGCTCATTAGAAGATGCTCGTCCATCAGAGAAGAGATGCTGTTTGAAGACACTCAAATCCACACGAAAAACAGTTTACAAAGCCAGAGAAACGGGTCTCGCTTTGTAGTGCGTCATGCGGCCGCTATTCCGAACAGGAGTTCACAGTGTTTAAGGAGAAAGTTGGAAAAGACACATGAGCGTTAACGTTACGCTGTAAACAAACGCAGGGGTGGGTCTGCCTTTTAAACGCCTCTCTTACATCATCACTGATTATCATCTTGCAGCTGAACCATCTCCATCTGCACGGAATTGGGGTCCTGATCCTTTCCTGTTTTACCCCCCTCTCCCCCCTTCAACATTAATTACATGCTTCTTTTTATACATCTGGCAGTGGGCCGGACAGCAGGTTTATTGCTATCGATTCAGCTCTTTGCTCCCGCTGGCTGTGCCCTGCATATAGCGCAGATACGCACAAAATGAAGCTGCTTGGATCAGGGCTGTTCCAAGCCCATGCCGGCGGAAAACCTGCACGTCTGTCCTTTCATTTCTGCTGTTTTTTTTATTAGGTCAAATAGAAAGTGATAATACGCATACCTGCACAGCATTCCTTAGGAATTAGAAGAACAAAAACAAGCATCATAAACACAAACTGAACAACTCAGTTATTTTGTAACAATAAATGCAAACCTTTTTGCACCTGGATTTACAACTATTACTTGACAATTAGGGTTCTTAACTGTTATACCTGTAGATATGTTGATTTTTCCAGAACATTCTCACTGGGTGTGCTGGAGGGAATGCAAGAGTAAGATAATGAAGGACATAGCTGCCAGTTTAAGTTGCCTAATGGGACTGACTACCATATCCTTTACTACCTAACCCAAATTTCTCCCATAAAGTGCTCAAATACAAGTATAATCATGAACAGTAAGTAAATAAAAATGCATAAAAAGCTCTGGTACTATGCTTCAATTAAATCTGTAGGGCTGAACAACTTGAGTGCCCAGGAGTCCTTGGCAGTTACATTTCTGTTCTATTGAGATTACAGTGAAGGTGATATCTGTGCTGTATGATTAGAACTGAGCTCATTAACACCCTGCTGGAAAGCACCATGGGAACATCTCTCATTACATAAAATCAGACAGCAGCGCTGCTGAACAGGACCAGCTTCACATTAAGACTTTAGTCAATGATCCTACGCATGAATAGGCAGTGAAAACCGAAAACCATTCTTCCCATTTGACCCCTTTAACCCCATGAAATAGCAACCAATTGATTCTGGGGAGTTTTCCTACTTTGTGCTTGGTCGGACACTGGACTGTACACCAGGCAACTATAGTCCAAATAGCCACTTCGACAGGACTTCAGACAAATTGGTTTACTAACCCGTTTCAGGTTGGATACAGTGTAAATGAGCAGTACAGTGGACGTGTGGTTTGTATGTTACGTAAATATAAGTCTATAATCTAAATTAGCATGTTCATATAACATACTGTAATAAATCATAAATATATAGCAATCATGTTTATTATACAGGCGGCCGTAATCATGGGGTGGGCCAGCTCATATTTTTCAAGAACAAAGTTGCTGACTCTCTCCAAATGATATGGAAACATAAAAATGATAATAACAACACATGAACAGTGAAAGACCAAAAGACAGGAAATACGACTTTTATAATGAATGCATAACAAACGTAACAGTAAAAGTAAATCTGAGGAATGCGGTGCAAGAGAAGCAATTTGCCAAATTACTACTTCATATACAATAAAAAATATATGTTGGATTCACAGATGTTGGCCAACTCACATTTTTTTTCATTTAACGTACGTTATCTTGACAGGAAGACCACATAGGGACGATAATCAAAGTAATCAATCAGCCACTCACTGGATTAGATGCCCACCTCATGACTACACTATGGCCTTACTATTACCATACAGAACACGCTGAGTTGACCCACAGCAGCCATTTTGTACTAGAATCGTCACGACGTATTGTTAAGGTTGTCTTGTTCTTTCTGACATGACCCGAATGAGAGTGTTACACACACCTGCATACGCAGCGGATCGAGGACGCCCACAAGGCCACCAAAGAGGGGGCGGGCAGGGCTTGCAGTGAGCTTTGGTGAGTGTCACTTAGTGCAGATAAGGAATGTCACACAGTGATAAACATCTCCTGGCTCAGTGGGTTACAGGGAGCTATAGGTGACAACAAAAGGCAGAAGTGTGTTCAATTACTACCTTGGCAACAATGGAAACATCGGCAGCAGATTCAGCTTCCCCTGGAGAATACGGGGGGCGTGTGATACGCTTAACTGATGATGGTGGTGCTGAAGGTACGTTCTCTCTCTGCGATCACTTACAAAATCTGTAACCTGCTCCGCGCCGGACGGCGAGGAACGACAGAACCATCTGAGATTAAGAGGGAGCAGAATACGAAGTGGAGAATATCAGGCGAGGCTTTGAAGGCCACGACTTGGGGAAACAAAGTCATCCCTTGCAGACAGAGTCAGCTTCTTCCAAAGCCTCCATCCACAGGCAACAGGAGAAATGGCTGAAAGCTGGGAAACTGGCAAGATCCTGGTGATGACACAGGCCAGGCAGGCATGCGTGGGGCAACCCAAAAAAAGCCAATCCACTTCAGTCGATGCCATCTTGTTCACAGAGTGGAAGGGCCATCTTACTCACAGCATGCGGCAGCATTAAGCAAACTTTAAAAGCCTCTCTGGGGTAGACAAAGCAGTTCACAAAACAATATTGTCCAAGCATACGCATGTCTTCTTAGAATAGAAGGTAGAGTGGTTTAAAAAAAGTTTCATCCCTATCAAAATGAACCACAAGGTGGCCACACGGTGACGTAGCCCAGGAAAGAAATGTAAACAGCTGAAGGAATTGTGACGTTTTCAAAAAAAATACCATACAAATAATAATGGATTAGACCTTGAAAGCTAAAGCTATTTGACACAGCAAAGGATCCCGGCCTCACAGCTAATAAAGTGGTCAGAAACACATCTGCAAAAAAGGCAGCATCACACAATAGGTCTTGTATGATAAAAGGTCAACATATTTTACTGCATTCAGAAGGGATTGTGCTTTTATATCCTTTAATTCTACACATTTGTGGCTTTATACATGTTTTCTCTTTATATATGCTTTATACCAATAATTTTTTTTTGAAGTATATGAAATCGAAATGTATTCAATTTTTAACTCTTTTGGCATTGTTTATGAAATTTTAACACTTTACATTGCACCTTCATAATGCCTTTATAATGCACTCATAGGCAGCATGTAAGTATACCTTAACATGGCATGGCATTCATAATAGTTTCAATGAACAAGACATGACAACTGTGATATACATTAATAACAAATACATGATTAAACAATTGCGTGTTACTAATTTCTGTTACAGCTGTCATGTCTGGTTCATTGAAAGTACTATGAAAGCAATGCTTAAGACATGTTAAAGTATACTTACAGGCTGCTTATGAGTGCTCTATGAATGCATCATGAAGGTACAGTTAACATTAAGCATTTCTGACATTTCCTTTTCAAAACACTACATAGGGAGCTGGACTGGCCATCTGGCATACGAGGCGTATTCCCAGTTGGCTGATGCATATGTGGGCTGGCATTTATCGTGGGGACCTCCCCCCACTGACCAAAAATTATTTGCAAATAAGGCTACCATCACCCTCCTTCACCTTTTGTGTGTGTGCGTGGGGGGGGGGGGTAGCCCTTCATCAGGTTACAGTTGGCTGACCAGACCATGTTCACCTGTAACCAATATACCTGTTTCAGATAACAAAAATAGCTAATCCTGATTCAATTGCACCCAAATAATCAAATCAAGAGGAAGGTAAATGAGATTTAGGGAGAAAGACAAGGACACATTGGAAAATAAGCCAATTACCAGTTTAGGTAAACTGTAGGTAAATCTTTAGGAGAACTTCACTGTGAGGAAGACTACATACAAGAATGGGTATAACGTTTATCATGGTCTGTATTAAAACATACAGCCCAGATTAGTTTATTGCACAAATGATGAGGTTGCTAGGCTACATACCTGCCTGCCTGCCTTCCATCCATCCATCCATCCCCTGGCGCAGTGGGCAGCACTGAGCCTCACATCACACCTCTGGGACCTGGGTTTGAGTCTCCACCACGGCTGTGTGTGTGTGTGGAGTTTGCATGTTCTCCCTGTGTCCTTCTGGAGTTTGCATGTTCTCCCTGTGTCCTTGTGGAGTTTGCATGTTCTCCCTGTGTCCTTGTGGAGTTTGCATGTTCTCCCTGTGTCCTTCTGGAGTTTGCATGTTCTCCCTGTGTCCTTGTGGAGTTTTTTCCGAGCACTTTGGTTCCCCACCCCCTCACGCTGAGGTTCTTTGGAGTTATCTAATTGTCCATAGGTGTGACTGGCATGTGTGTGTTTCCTGCGATGGGTTGGTGCCCCATCCTGGGTTGTTCCCTGCCCTGTGCCCATAGGCTGCAAACCTCCCACAACCCTGAATAGCACAAACGGTTACAGAAAATCCATCCACCCTGACTGACTTGGTGCTAACATGGTTACATAAGCATATGATATTAATTAAAATTGGAGATAATATGGTGTAAAGGTCATTCTGATAATAAACCATGTTCCTGGCTGTCCAGTGAATGCACTGTGGCCTCATCCACCCAGCATTGCAGACAACCGCGATGTCACATAAATGGCCATGTGCTGCCCCCCCCCCCAAACCTCGACATCCAAACAGAACAGTAAAAACAGCCCACACCAAATGCCCGGAAGCGACTATGGCAGGATGCCCTTAAGCAGACTTCGTTAATGCAGTGTCCTCCGGCTCTTTGTGGTCCGTGGCCCCCTCTCCACACACCTCCCTTTGTGTCGCACAAGAGGTGTGAAGCAGCAAACCAGAAATACAGGAGCGGGACCACGGCTCAAAGAGGGGCTGAATCGGGCCATTAACGGCTTTTATAAACGCATTTCCGCCCTGTTCATTATTTTCCTTCTGTTCTTGTCCAGCCGAGAGAGCATTAAAAAGTGGCTCGTGTTATGAATAAGAACGTGAACAAAGGGAGGAGCCGGACGGATCGTTGAGACTGAATAAAAGGTTTGCCATCGGTCTGCTCTGCTGTTGCAACCTCCCACAAGAGGACACATGGAGAGGAGACCTCCTCTGCGTCACTCTGCTAGCTTAATTTCTCTTGTTACAGACAGTGTGCGAGTGTTACTTTGTTAATTTAAGTATCTGTCTACAGATTGGCTGGAATCATTTTTGAAGAAATGAGGTGAATCCCTGCAGTTTGGATAGTAAATAAGCCATGTGAATACCATACCTGCATGGAGACAAAAACATTACTCATAGCAAGAGTTCATATTTAAGGTACAATGCAAGTAGTTTGGGATCAACTAACAACAGCGTCTGTTACTTCAACTGGCATTCCTGTGACGTTAAATATTACCCCAATCAGAATATTAGTCATTAGCTGCATGTATATCATATGGGTTATGAATAATTATAAATTAATAACCAGGCTGTTCTAATGAAACATGCACATTTATCACAGGAAGGCATATAAGTGACGAGATGACAAGCAAAACGCACATTCAGACACATTCTGTTTGTGATTTACGGGAAGTTTTAATGATCGTCCCCTATTAATATCACAGCTGTGGGAGGGACACAAGACGGCTTCCACCCAGGACACCTGATGCACGTCACGGCTCTCACTGGGAATCTGCACTGTGACGCCAACAATAATTACATTCTGTATATGCTTACACAATCTGCGGAGGACGACACGAAACACTCAGGCCTTTTACTGTTGTCATATGGGTGACACCCCTTTGGAGTCAGAGATATCCTTCTTTATCACATCCAACCAAAGAGATAAATGAAATGGACAGTTTTACACCTGATGCATCCGCAGCCACCAAGCACACAGGGATATGTACAGTAAGACAGTAGAGGTCATTTCTGTGAATTGCGGGGGGGGGGGCGAGTCGGGCGACTCCCTCAACCCACCACGTCAAATCATGCACCACTTCTGGACCTAATTATTGACCTTTAAGACAAACAAGTGTCCAGACGTGAGGATGAAGAGCCGCTCGCTGGTGGCCCGGAAGCCGAGGATGGTGTCATTGCAGTCCAGGCTGGCCACTTGTTGCTTGGCAACCTGGCCCACCTGCCGGCCCTGCTTCCGGTTGAAGAGCACGGTGTCGACGGGCGACGGCTGCCGGTAGATAAAGACCCGGCGCAGGCACTCGCTGAGGGCGGCGTAGGAGAAATCAGGGGCGCAGGTGGAGAACTTCCTGTCGCGCTTGGATGCCTGGACATAGCCTGCAGGAGACAGCAGTTAGGTGAGGAAGTCAGAGGTGATTTAAGGAGAAAGTTAAAGACGCATAGTGCATCATGACAAGCGCGTCAAAACGGATCAGCCTGGACAAACGGAGTCCTCCTTGTGCTTGGTAAACATGCATTTTTCATATGTGGCCAGTCTCAGGGTTATGAACGAGATCCGCTCCCTAAGTCTGTCTTTAAGTCGAAGTAGGATGCAAGTCAGAACAGGCACATACGGTTCCTTATTGAGGGTCGGTTAGTTAAACACTTGTATTAGCATATAGGATATACCTTTCTATGCATATAAAACATTTAAGAAACACTTCTAAATACACTAAAACATCTTAAACATGATAATGTAGTACATAATAATAATAATTCTAGTAACTATATACGGTACTGTATTGTTGGGCTGGGTGATAAATTTTTACGATAATTATCGCGACATCAATGTGGCAAATGTTTGGTAAATGTTCCATATAACTTGAGACCTGGTGACACGTTTTGTGTCACAAAGAAATGACTTCACTTCCTCTATGACTGCTTGTCTGGGCCAGTAATGGAGCACAAGCACAGACACAATGTTAAAACACAGACAGGTGATTTACTGAATGAGAAAGGAAATGCAATATGGCAGGCAGGCAGGAAGATGAAAGACGACACAATCAAAACAAGAGGGCGACTGGGAGAGCATCCAAAGCAACCCGCCCAATAAGGGCAGTCCAGCAAAACAGTGCTTGAAAGTGCACAGTAAAATTCAGTCTGCGAGAAATCCACAGTGCAGTTTTCCACGGAAAATTCTAGCAGAGGTCTTTTTGGCACCGACTAAAATGACCTGACCTGTCTCCATTCGCCTATGCACAACAAACACACAAGTTTGCTGAGTTAGCACTCCACATGCTACTATTCTATATTACTAATGAGTAACGGGAGACAAAAGCCTACCTCAGAGTAAAATTCCGTATCGGTGAAGAAAGAGCAGCAGCCACAACATTTTTTGTGAAAGGGAGATATTGTGGATAAGCCAGGTAAAAAGACGTTGGTGGTGTGATAGTACTTTGGCAATTTAAAGAAGCCCAAGACATGCAACAGACTGGTGCTGACTAGAACTGGAAATACCACAAATTTATTGTTCCAGTAGAACAAACAGAATGCAAGAGCTTACTGTCATGGACAGCAACAAATAGTTACACAATTAGTGTTGGTGTAACTTTCAGTCACGTCCTGTATTGGCTCAAAACAAAAAACAGCATTGGATTTTTCAATACCAGGTGTGTGGTAACTCTACTAGCATTATTAAACTTGAGCAGTGAGGCAGTCAGAGAAAAAAAAAACAGCAATAAATCGTATTGTAGGCATATTACTACAGCCGTGGCCAAAAGGTTTGAGAAACACAAATATTAATTTTCCACAAGGTTTGCTGCCTCAGTTTTTATTATGGCAATTTGCATATACTCTAGAATGTTATGAAGAGTGATCAGATGAATTGTAATTAATTGCAAAGTCCCTCTTTGCCATGAAAATGAACTTAATCCTAAGAAAACCCAGTTCCACTGCATTTCAGCCCTGCCACAAAAGGGCCTGCTGACATCATTTCAGTGATTCTCTCATCAACACAGGTGAGAGTGTTGATGATGACAAGGCTGGAGGTCACTCTGTCATGCTGACTGAGTTAGAATAGCAGACTGGATGCTTTAAAAGGAGGGTGGTGCTTGAAATCATTGTTCTTCCTCTGTTAACCATGGTTACCTGCAAGGAAACACGTCCGTCATCATTGCCTTGCACAAGAAAGGGGTTCACAGGTAAAGATATTGCCGCTAGTAAGACTGCACCTAAATCAGTCATTTATCGGATCATCAAGAACTTCAAGGAGAGAGGTTCATTTGTTGTGAAGGAGGCTTCGGGGCGCCCAAGAATGTCCTGCAAGCGCCAGGACTGTCTGAGGGACAGAATGGCTGATTCAGCTGTGGGATTGGGGCATCATCAGTGCAGTTTGCTCAGGAATGGCAACAAGCAGGTGTGAGTGCATCTGGATGCAGAATGAGGTGAAGACTTTTGGAGGATGGCCTGGTGTAGAAAGGTAGCAAGGAAGCCACTTCTCTCCAAAAAGAAAAGTCAGGCACAGACTGATATTCCACAAAAGGTACAGGGATTGGACTGCCGATTGGACTGGGGTAAAGTCATTTTCTCTGATGAATTCCCTTTCCGATTGTTTGGGTCATCCGGAAAAAAGATTGTCCGGAGAAGAAAAGGTGAGCGTTACCATCAGTCCTGCCAACAGTAAAGCATCCTGAGACCAGTGCGAGATCTAGTGCGTAAACCCAGCGTGTAAAGAAGGTGAGGAGCCCATCTACTGTGTAAACCCAGCGTGTAAAGAAGGTGAGGAGCCCATCTAGTGCGTAAACCCAGCGTGTAAAGAAGGTGAGGAGCCTACCCAGCGCGTTGAAGGTGGCTATGTGCTCCCACATGCAGTCGGGCTGCTCGGGCCGCGGCTGCCACAGCAGGGCGTCCACGTCGTGCCGTAGGCACAAGCAGGGCATCTCCTCAGCGTCCACGTCCACCGTGAACAGGTACTGGTGGCTGGCCAGGTTCACCTGAGGCAGCAGCACAAAAGCTGTGTCAAACTCACATTTTAATTATTTTCCAAGTCTATGGCCTGCGGTTTGGCATCCAATCCAAAAGTGCTAGGAACGGCTGTAGAATATTTACATTATAAATAAATAGTTAGAAAATGTGTCCATACATTTTTGTGTTTTTGTGATAAATGTGCTTTACCCCCCCCAGTGAAACATTATAAGTTTGTCAGTTTCAGTGCTCAGCTAATACAGGCCATAGACCTGCAAAAGAATAAAAAGTGAAACATTTTGTCATGCCTCTAGCCCACATTGTTCAAAATTCCTTATCTTGTTCTTTTTAATTTAAAGTTGTTGCTGTGCCCATCCTTGGTTGTCCCATGTCTTGAGCCCATAGGCTCCAGGACAGACTCCAGACCCACGACCCAGAGTAGGACAAGCGATTACTGAAAATGGACGGATGGATATTTAAAGTTGCTATCGTTGGACTTTGCAACCAAGAAGGCTTGATATCAGTATTATATGAGCAAGCAGTTTATTTGCGTTGACCATTTATGGTTATTAGTGGGTGGTGAGTTGACAGGATCTCAGGCTTATGCCTGCATGCAAATTTACAAGATAGTACCAATTTATCAAGGGGGAATTCCGAGTCTGAGTTTTTTTTATGCGTACCCAGTTTTATGTTTTAATTTGTACACATTATTTCAAGATTAATTTTATGCAAAGTCTGATACATGAGGCCCCTGGTCACTGCAAACTAACTATGCTGACAGTCCTATCATAGCTCCCATCCGAACACAGGGCCCATTGCATGGGAATCCACAAGAAGCCGCTCTGCTTTTCTCCCAAAGTCCTGTTCATGGTGATGCAGTATCAAGCTTTTCCTGTTTTTATATTGTGCTGTCAAGCCATCTGAAAAAATAAACTATTTCATAAACCTCGGGGGTATTACACGAAGCAGGATTAAGGAAAAGTCTGACTTATTTCGACAAGTCTGGTTAATTTAAGTGGGAATTCCATTATATCAACATGTCATAAATGAATCCCCGCTGAGCTACCATGGTAAGTTAGGTGAGTGAACGAGTCTGCTCCGGACCAGGTTAACCGTCTAGCTTAGTTAAGCGTTGTCTCAAAGAACATCCGACGTGTGGGAACAGATTCCCAAAAGATCATTAAAAACGAAAAGTTTATTAGTAAAATAGCAAACACAAGATACGCTTTTTGTGCAGAACATTTCACACGGGAAAAAAACACTGCTCTCATTTTACACGCTTTCTGACTCATTTGATCTATCTATTGTTCATCCATTCATTTTGGCTTCTTAAATATCTCAGGTGTGCGCACTAAGTGAGACCATGCAAGTCTGTCTTGTATGAGCCTTGATTAATTAAACCTGAACTTCGTTAGTGGAACGACATCAGGCTAAGTTTAGAGATGGCACTAGTTTGAGTCTGACTTTTTTGGAAAAGTCTGGCTTTCTTTAGCTACTTTCATGGAATACCCCCCTGGGATGATTTGACTGCACCTTATCCATGAGGATTTGCTGAAACGCATGAAAAGGTCTTGTGTGATCAAGAGTCGGTAATGAAACTGAAACTTTGGGTTTGAATCTCCCCTTCTATTTTCCAGTAAACAGGTCAAATGTGTCCTGTGAACTTGACTGTGAAGATTGTCTTGCAAGATGCAGTCCAGGCAAAGGACAAATTCTCTGAATAGTGCCGAAAGCATTTTAGAAACCACAGGCTACCATTCAGGGGAGTAGTCTCCGGCTATTTCTTGTAGTGAGAGCTTCTTTTAATATAACTCAATATATTTCCACGATGGGGGTGCATGAGGGTGTCACAATTGACTAGGATTTTTCTATAGATGGACCTGCTTTAAGTTTTTTCATAAAAAAAAAGAAATGAAGAGAGAGGGTTTTTTTATTGTTCAGAGCTTGGTAACTCATGCATGCTGTTTGAATAGGCAGTAAAGTTTTTCAAAAACCTTGTCTACTTTTGGGGTGATTATTTCATAAAGAGCTCATAGAGACAAGTAGTATACATGCACATATGTCACAATGAAAAATAAAAACCCAAGCCCTTGGCTGTATTTTTAATAACCAAAAGCAGAAAAATTGCAGTTCCCAAGATGATATTTGACCTTAGAGAGAAAAAAAAAATCAAATCTTACACTTACACAAAAGTTGAATTTAACCATGCCATGAAAAAAACGAGTTTTAAGCTTTCTGATGAGCTACAGCTGAGCTACGTAGCTGTAATAGTAAATAATTACAGCTCATAAGAAAACACTGAATTTTGTTTTTTTGCTGCCTACAATGTAAAAAAAAGGTGCTATATCTGAATGGGGAAAAATTAAAATAAAGCAAAGACATTTCTGAGCTCTGGAACGTATGCATAATTCACATTCTAAATTTAATTAAAATTTAAAAAGGCCATTTGTTGTATTAAATTGGAATGACCCTGGAAAACATCAATTTTGTATTAGTTGCCTTTATTAAAAGAGGGATTTAAAAGCACATATAACTGAACTGTAAAAGAAGAAGCCTGGCTGCTGTATCAGGATGATCACCGAAGCCACAGCGACGCGATGACCCACATTTCACCCAGGACAAAACAGAAAACCTATGACACCTCAACCTGAACCTGGCAGCATTTAAAACAAAACAGACCAAGCACCAAAAAAGTGCCTTTATCACCCAGCCAAACAAATACAACTCTACTGAAACAACCAAGCACAAATAATAATAAAAGACAAGGAAACAAATAATAAGCAAGCAAACTAATTTATGTCTGCTGTAACCCTGTAACCGATAAGTGGCTACGGATGGAGGGTTAGATAAACATGCGAGTCTGTGTGTTCAGGGATAAGAATGAGTCAGACTTCAGAAATGTTGCTTTCAGAAACAACAATCAATGCAACAATCCTTGAAAATATATTTAAACCATAAAACTTTAAAAATGTACTTTAAAACTGTGCTTCTTCCACTATGGGGGCCTCTGAGGGGGGCAGTGCAATTTAATTGAAAAACGTAAAAAAAAAATTATGATATTGGTATCGATAGATTCTTAAAACGAGATGCAGAGTGACAATACCGTTTATGTCGATATACTAGTACTCTTCGCTAAAATTAGGGCTATATTCTAGATTTTAATACTTTCTGGATGTAAACATAATAATTTCATACCTGTCAAGTTTTGGATTTGAAAATAAGGGAAATTTTCCGGCACCCACCGCGAGCCACCCCACCACCCCAACCAAGCTCCAGTATCCCTTACGTTTTAAGACAGGTGTACAAGAAATCTAAAATAACCACTTGTCATTTACATTTTATTTTAATTACACATTTTCTTTTAATTTCTCATGTTCACTCCTGTGGCACTCTGGTATTCACTAATGACTTATTATACAGATTTGTTGCAGACATTGTATCCTTGTTGAAGTCGTCACAGAAGGTGAAAGTGACGTTGCTTTTCGCACACAGCATCGCCATTTTAACCTCCGCATTTATTACCTGGATAATGTTGTAAATGACCTGCAGACTACTGCAGGTGGCAGATCTCGCGAGGCTACTGGCAGTTCAGTTTGGAGGGGCAGAGGATTTTTTTTTTATGATATTATAATACGGGAGATTTACGGGAAAATATTAATACAGGAGGACGGTGGGAAAGAGGGGTAAAATACGGTAGCTTCCCGGCCAAAACGGGAGACTTGCATGTTAGTCAATCTTCTTATTGCTGCTTTACATGGGTATCTGCATGTTAGTCCATCTTCTTATTGCTGCGTTACATGGGTATCTGCATGTTAGTCCATCTTCTTATTGCTGCGTTACATGGGTATCTGCATGTTAGTCCATCTTCTTATTGCTGTGTTACATGGGTATCTGCATGTTAGTCAATCTTCTTATTGCTGCGTTACATGGGTATCTGCATGCTAGTCCATCTTCTTATTGCTGCTTTACATGGGTATCTGCATGTTAGTCCATCTTCTTATTGCTGCTTTACATGGGTATCTGCATGTTAGTCCATCTTCTTATTGCTGCTTTACATGGGTATCTGCATGTTAGTCAATCTTCTTATTTTAGTTCATTTTTGCTAAATATGCTTTATTTAACCAGAAATCCCTGCTGAATAAAGTTTTAATTATCAGTTTTTAATTAGCTCTACTTTTTTGATCACCTCATCCCAACACCTGGAAGTGCTGTGTATCCTAATACGCCATGTCAAAAGATAGCAGAAAATTACTATCAGTATTATTATTAATAATAATAATAATAATAATTATTATTATTATTATTAATGATAATAATACCCCTGCGACCCTTAATAGGAGAAGCGGTTACAGAAAAAGGATGGATGAACAGAACAACTATAATAATGACCCACACCGATTGATTCAGCGTCTGAATGCACAGACTCTTCAAATGACTGCTGGCAGAAGTGCTGCTCCTTTGTGGAGCTACAGCACGTGAGCAGTCAGTCAACATGCACTTTCACGTTTAAGTGGCACATGCCTAATCGCCACGGGGACAGCAGCCCGAGAAGCCGGCATGCATCTTCACGGGGGCTAATGTCATAATTGAAGCCAGTACATCTTGAAGCCAGTACTTCTCTACTTTCTTTCACTTGCTAATCTTGGAGTTCTATGGCCACCGTCAACTGAACATCGCAAAAACAGCCAGGAGACAGTCATTACTGGATGATGCCCTCCGTAATTATTTTAGGGTTTTTCATGACTAATTTGACATTTGCAACATTAAAAGCATTCTTTTGGGAACGGTTTTGAAAATTGAGCCAGAAGGGTGTCTTTAATGATGCTCAACGTCTGCTATATGGCTTCTCAACACAGGAAAGATGACTTATGCTGTTGTTTACAGCTGCATCTGTATTTTAAACTTAGAATGGACATTTCTATCATATCCATCAGCCTTGAATAACAGACGAAGAAGCTAATGCAGGACAGGTTCCTATAGGCTAGTGTTTCCCAATCTAATCCTTGGGGACACGTACTGTAGACAGTCC